GGTCGTTGGCATATACCAACAACGATCGACTAAATCATATTCGTTTCGTCATTGTAATTAAATAACGAATGATAGATTGCAGCGATTTAAATCGTATTTTTGTAGTAGTTGATATAGGTTTAAATGATTAACCGTTAATTCAAAATCTTGTAGTATATCATGCACGGATCAACAATTCGTTAGATTCGGATAAGCTAAATCATAAAACATATCCGTTGCATAGCTATAATAATTGTCTTTTCATTCGTAATAATTTATAGATGATATATTGTTTATATACTTAAGAAAGATTCGTATTGACTACATCTAAACAATATATAGTACTATAAGTTTCTTATCAATTTTACTTGTTTATGTATATGCAGTGACAGTGTAATCAGAAAAACAAGTGGGAGATTGTTTATATATACATAAATGTTATAAAACAATTAAAGTCTTAACTCTTAACTTATTGACGCATGTTGAGTCAAAGCTAGGCAGATCTAATCAGCGGGCTTCTAAGCAACTTCGACTAATAATATAACAAAATTAATCATATTGGCTTGCTAATAACATTTTTATATGAGTATCTATTAAATACAACGCTGCGTGATCGTTGGACTCTTGTAGTGAAAACAATCTAGCTAAGTTTTGTTTGATGACTTCTTTTTTTTGAAACTTATTTTGTTTAATGACTTTTATTGCTTAAGATGTATTAACATTTAAAGATTTATCTAGGGATGGATGCATATGCGAGATTAGTTTGATTATTTTAGTACTTATACGTATGTTCCTTTAGTCCATCACAAGTTATTGTATATATATGTGTGTGCGCGTGGAGCGAGCCGGATTAAATGAGTTATAACCACGAAACTACAATTGTTTATTTCTTTATCAAAAAAAAAAAAAGAACTACAATTGTTTATTTGCTTACACGTAGTTTATAAAACTACATATTGAAGAGTACTGATACAGAAAATGTGGGATCGATTTGATTTCCTGAGATCAATTACCATAAGTTTTCTTTTTACTACAAAACGAAGATGACAACATTTGACAAGAATTAAACGAAGTTTATTAAACTTATTATACATTTTCGATAGATATCTAATACCACAAACTGTTATATAATAATATAAAAGTTTGGTACAAAGATTTCGTTAGGAAAAGCAAAATATTCCACTCCTAACCTGTTGAAGTAGCCAATTCAATTCAAACGAATTTGCATGATTATTTGTCTTAAAGTATATTGAGAAAAAAGCAAGAAGGAGAAGAGTAAGAGAAGCGTGACCAATGGAGCAAGTGGCCTCCTAGACTCCTAGTGCATATCTTCTCATCTTGGCCAACCATTTTATGTAATGTCAAATATCACCTAATTAAATTTGAAATCTTGATTGGATATGCATGTAGTTATAGTGGCTATAGACCTACTCACAAATGAGATATGGCGTATATGATATCTAATAAGTTTTAC